TATAAAATGGTCAACCGTGAATATCATTGTCGTTCTCATGTAATATTTAAAATATTCGGGTTACGATATTTCAGGATTCACAAATGTGATATGTCATCGTAAGTGTGCAGTCGTTCTCTGAAGCGAATAGAGGCAAAATACAAATCTAACAACGTTTTGAACTGCTGCACAGATGTTGCCTCAATCACATGTTCGGGCAACTATTCCAAATGTTTACCACTCTCCGTTCGAAGCACAGTGGTGGGGAACACGTTTCATATCCGGCACAACAAGTTTGTATCTGTGTCCGCGTGTGCTGCATGGTCCTCCTAAGTGCAGTATTGGCCTTAGCATGGGGAACTCACCAAGATGTAGAATTCGGTAGGTCATAATGAGGTCGACTCGCACCCGACGGTAGGACAAAGTGTAGAGCCCTAGTTTCTCGCACCGGTCTTCATACCCAAAGCCACGTAATCTCGGGATCAGCCTGGTGGCAACGTGTTGGACCCGTTCGATCTTTTGTGCCTCGCCTCGGGTAATCGGAAAGTAGGCGGGCGAACCGTACTCTAGCATTGGTCTAATGATAGAAGAGAAAAGGGGAGTGGCAACCTCTTCAGACCATGTGCCGAAGCTACGTTTGAGCGCCCAAAGCATGCGCAGTCCGTTCCGATATAACCTGTTCGTGTTGTCCACGGACTTCAAATCGTAGCGTAAGAGTACACCTAGGTCCTTCACGGAGGGTGTGGGATATAGCATTTGGCCGTCAAGAGTGTAAGTTCGGCCGTTAGCACCCTTCCCCAGGCTCATAAATACGGACTTGGCTGGGTTGATCGGGAGAAGAACTTCTGCAGACCATGTGGATAAGCGGTTGAGATCTTGCTGAAGTAGGCCACAGTCATCGGGAGCGTCGATTTCTCTCCAAATCTTCATGTCGTCCGCAAACAAGGCACACGGCGACCGGAGAAGCTGCGGTAGATCATTGATGTGGATCAGGAACAGAGTGGACCCCAGCACAGTGCCTTGAGGCACGCCACTTGTAGAGGGGTACCAGTCAGTTAGATGGTCGTCGACCTGTACTCTCCACTTTCGTCCAACAAGAAACTCGCTGATCCACCGGTGCAGAGAGCCACCGACGCCACACATGCTGAGTTTGCGAAGGAGAACCTCATGGCTGACCTTGTCGAACGCTTTACTGAAATCGATGGATATCACGTCGACGGACTTCCCCTCGTTTACTGCCTTCAACCACTCATGCCTCGTCACAAGCAGGTTCGTAATGCATGAGCGACCTTGCATAAAACCGTGCTGTGCGGGCGTCAGGACCTCGTTTGACTGTAGCAACTGCAGCAATCTCTTCTTCACGATTTTCTCAGCAACCTTTGCCAAAATAGGTGTCAGACAAATTGGCCTGTAATTGTCTACTTTGCTAGGGTCGCCGCCTTTCGGAATAGGCTTCACCACCGCACATTTCCAGTCAACCGGCAACGAACCTTCGGACAGCGACCTGTTGAAAAGTTCAGTCACGACAGGAGAGAGGATGGTTGAAAGTGACTTGAGAACCAGTGGGTGAAGCCCATCAGGTCCGGCAGGTTTGGTGCCGTCAAGGTTGGCGAGTAGTTGAGCTACCTCTTCAAAGCGCATTGCAGATTATGGAGTTCGATAAAAGCGGTACACGTCGAACTCGGAACAGACACCTGGTTATTCGCAAATACAGAAGCGAAGTGCGCCGCCAACGAGGACGCACGCTCAGTGCTGGAGGTTAGGGGCTGTCCATCCGTGCCATCCAGCACTGGCACATCACCTGCCGGCTTCAGGCGTCGCTTCACGTATGCAAAGATTCCCTTTGGGGCGGTCTTCGCGGCTAATGCGAGCTGCACTTCAAAGTGTCGGCGTTTATTCTTTTTCGCACTGTTGCATAGGTTCCGCTGACATTTATACCCTTCGTAATCATTGGCAGAGCCAGAGAGAAGGAATTTGTCCCACAGTCTGCGCCGCCTCCGAGCCAGGTTTCCATACTCCTTATCAAACCAATGAGGCTTAATGGGTCCAACCTTTCGACATTTCAGTGGCACAAATTGGGAACACAATGATGTCAATCTCTCTTTCATAAATATCCAACAATCTTCCACAGATGCAGCTTGTGACAGAGACCAATTCAGTTGGCTCGCGGCTCGAGCTAGACCATCGAAGTCCGTTTTCCAGTAGTTGGGAGCTGGTTGCAACGGATGTGAATACGGCAAAGATAATTCCATATCAGCTATCAGTACTGAGTGGTCGCTCGTAGCCAGGGGCTCCAGGATCCTAACATCACGCACTCGTTGTTCGTAGCTCGTTAACATCAGGTCGAGACAGGACGGGGTTGAACGTGTTGATATGCGTGTTGGCTGGCATATGTGTTGCGATGCACCAGTTTCAAGTACCAAATCCACGAACTTTGCTTCAACCTCACTATGTCCAGGCATCAAATGCACATCAGGCCATCGTATTCGATTTAAGCCATCACAAATTACTGCAAACCTTT